CACCAATCTTACTCGGAGGATCATCTCTACGGCAGATTTCCGGTAAGAACATGTTATATGTTAAGAAATTAATTATAATAATATAATAAATATTTAAATATTTAAATTAAAAAAAAAATATTTTAAAATATAGAAAAAATTATGAATTTGTAACGCAATGGCTTTAATGCCCTTGCTTTTGCCACGCCCGCTTATTACTCCTCACACGCCAAGCAGGCTCACTAGCTGTAGCAAAACAACGGTTTTGTGTAATCTGTAAAATAAGGGGTGGGAAGAAAAGAAAGAGATATCAGAAAGAAGAGAATAGAAATTGGAAAGTTAAATGATTTTATAAATCATTTGATGTAAAAGTATAAAAATCAATTAGCAATATTCTCTAATACTCCTTTATTAATATTTATTTTATTATTAATTGAAAATTATATGTTTTAATAAATTCTACTATTAAATCAAAAGAGAGACTCATTAAGTCAAAAATAAAATCTATAAAACTTGTGATTTAATTTAAAATAAATTAAAGCAAAACTCATAATATTTCTTTTTGTCATTTAACCTATATTAGGTAAAGAAAAAAGAATTAAAGCAAATGAAAGTGTATGGAAAAATATGAACGAAAATAAAAAATAAATAAAAGTATGGTAGAAATAAATAATTAAAAAATGGACACTGAAAGTTATGTTTTCTTTAATAATAATAATGTAATTATTATTATATTATTACAATATTCATTAAATTTACACGTATTTATAGACAACTATAATCGCATGTTATCGTTTGACTTATCTACACTAACGATTTAAACAATACATACTAATCCAAGACGTTAGACTTAAAAAGTTAACTAGGTATTTAATCACGTCTTCAATAAATGCTTGCACCACTTACCTTCGATCTGCAAAACACATTTTCAGAATTGCTAATTCTCAGAAGACATTTTCTTTTTCCTACGAACAAGTTTGCATGCAATATCTCAAGTTTCAAAATTAAGAATTAATTTGTGTTTAGTATAGATAGTAACTTCTGTTAATTAATTATTAGTTTAATGCTGACAATAATTAATTTTGAAAGCACTATTACTTATTACACATATTTAAATTTATTTTTTTTGTTTTAAAACCATATAATACCATAATAAGATTTTTCTAGATAATTTCATATTTAATAAACAAGATTAATTACACACCTATATATACTGTTCTTTTAGTGTTGTTATTGAGAAATGAGAATGTCATATCAGGACAGTTTGGGTGTTCTCACATGGTGTTGGGCCCCTCAGAGAGAGACTAGCTACCTAGCAAATGCAGTTGAGTCGATGATTTGTCTATTATCTTTCCCTGAAAATAAAAAAGTATTTGGGGATGCAAATTTCTGTATATTAGATGCTTACAAAATATTAAAAAGCAAGGAACCCTGTATAAGTGTTTGGAATAAATAATTTTGATTGTGTTTTATTGAATGAGAAGCAACCATATATATAAGGGTTTTTGTACAACTGAATGAAAACAGAAAGATAATAATAACAATAATTTAAACATTTGAATCAATGATAAGATGTACAACAGAATCTGTTTGTTATGTTATCCAATATGCCCTCTCAAGATAAAATCACCATCTGTGACTTTTATCTTGGCTGTTAATTGTTGAAATCGTGTAGTTGCTAATGGTTTGGTTAACAGATTTGCCAAATGATCCTTGGTTGACACATGAGAGACAAACATCTTTCCAGCTTGAACTTGTTCACGGACAAAATGATAGTCAAGTGAAATATGTTTGATTCTTGAGTGTAGTACTGGGTTTGAGCATAGGTACGTGGCACCAACATTGTCACAAAGAAGGAGAGGTGGACGTCCTATGGGAACATTCAATTCTGTGAGTAGATTTGTCAACCACATGAGCTCAGTTGTGGCAGTAGCTACTGCCCGGTATTATGCTTCTATAGAAGATCTTGCGACTGTTCGTTGTTTCTTTGACAACCATGAGATGGGGTTGCCACCAAAGAAGATGATGTAAGAAGATGTAGAGGTCCTATCATCAAAGTTCCCACCCCAATCTGCATCAGTGTATGCCAACAAGTGGAAGGAGGAAGATGGTTGAAGGGAAATGCCATAGTTGATAGTGTGTTTGATATATCTAAGTAAGCGCTTGAGATGTTGGAGATGAAGAGTTTTAGGCTTATGCATGAACTGTGAGAGTTTATTGATGGAAAATGACAAATCTGGACGAGTTAAAGTAAGATATTGAACTGCGCCAATTATTTTGTAGAAGTATGTGGCTTCAGTAGTGGCAGTGCCATCATGTAGTTGTAGAGTAGCTGAAGGGGAAAAAGGAGTTGGTGCTGGTTTTGCCCCTTCCATGTCAAATTTCTCCAAGAGGTCACGAATGTACTTGTGTTGAGAAAGGAAAAGTCCAGATTTGGTGGGTATGAATTCAACCCCAAGAAAGTAATGTGGAGCTCCCAAATTTTTTAGTGCAAACCTGGAAGAGAGAGCACTAATAAAACCATGAAGAAAGTCATTATTATTTCCAGTTAGCAGTTAATCATCCACATACACAAGAAAGTAAGCTTTTATGTTGCCAGTTGCAAAAATAAATAAGGAAGGGTCACTCTTGCTCATGATAAACCCATGTGAAGTATTGAACGACTTCAAGGCATCTTTCCATGCACGTGGCGCTTGGCGAAGCCCATAAATGGCCTTATGAAGTTTGCAAACATAGTTCGGATGTTGACTATCTTTAATACCTGGTGGTTGAGTCATAAAAACCTCTTCAGAGAGATTGCCTTATAGAAAGGCGTTGTTAACATCCAATTGATGCATCTGCCATTTGTTGGTCAAAGCTAAGGTGAGAATCACTTTGATTGTTTGTGGACGCACCACTAGTGCAAAAGTCTCATGGAAGTCCACACCGGCACATTGAGTGAACCCCTTTGCAACAAGACGTGCCTTATATTTGTCTATGGAACCATCAAATTTTTGTTTTACACGAAAAATCCATTTACAGCCAACTATATTATGATTTTTTGGTGGTGGTACTAATGACCATGTGCCATTCCGTATGAGTGCATCAAATTCAGCAGAAATGGCTTGCCTCCAATGATCATATTTCATAGCTTCTCTTACAGTAGATGGTTCAAGGTTCTCATGGAGTGGGTGTTTCGAGACACTGAAGGCTCTTTTTGGTTTGTGAATGTTGTTCTTTGAGCGAGTGACCATATGATGCCGATTTTGAGAAGTAGAATTCTCAGACTGATTGTCAATAGGAGGTGAATAAATATTTGAAGGAAGAGAGGATAGGGAAGGATTACCTGGTGGAGGAGCGGAAGTCATTGGTGCCTCTTGACATGGTGGATCAGAATGTGTGGTGGTTGCAGGGCCATAGGCTGGGCTATGTTCAGGTGTATGCTGAATTTTAAGGACTGGTATAGGTGTGAGTGTTTGTTGGGTGTCATTGGGTTTAAGGGTGTTAGTAAGGGTGGAGTATGGAAAATGATTGTCATGAAAGAAAACATGACGAGATACATATAGACGGTTGGTGGTTGGGTCAAGACAATAGTAAGCATATTGAGAGGGTGAATAGCCAACAAATAGGCACGACTTGGATCGAGGTTGGAGTTTGTTTGTTGTATAAGGACGTAGCCAAGGAAAGCATAAACAACCAAAAGAGTGCAAATGAAGTGGATTGGACTCAATTTGGTGTAGTGTGTGAAGTGGGGATTTCATTTGGAGAATTGGGGTTGGTAGTCTATTTATGAGGTAGGTGGCAGTGGTGAAGGCATACTACCAATATTGTGGTGGCAATTTTGCATGGTGTAATAAGGCACGTCCTGTTTCAACAATATGTCTATGACGTCGTTCAGCTGTCGCATTAAGTTCTAGGGTGTGAGGTGGGGTGGTGAAATGTGAGATGCCGTGTTGACTTAAGTAATGTTTAAGTTTGAGAAATTCACCCCCATTATCAGAATAAATAGACACAAGCGGTGTATTGAAATATTTTTCAACCAAATTTTTGAATTGAGGAAATATTATTGAAACATCTGACTTATTTTTCAAGGGAAATAACCAAACATATTTAGAAAAATGATCAACAAAAATAAGATAATATAAAAAACCATCTAAAGACCTAACAGGAGCTGGACCCCAAACATCAGTGTAAACAAGATCCAATGGTTTCTTGCTGTGCAAACTCGAACTCGAGAACGACAGCTTGTGGCTTTTGGATATGCTACATGAGACACACGGGGCAGTAGGTTGTGCTTTTATTTTATGCAGAGAGATCAGATGATTGAAAATGTGTTCAGATGGATGACCAAGGATGTGGTGCCATGGAGAGTGAGATGAAGAGGTGGAGGAGAGAGCTATTGGTTTGATGATGGAGGAAGGTATGTGATATTGTCCACAATTATGGAGTCCTTTGAGGAGAGGCACCCTTGTCTTCCGATGCTTCACCAAAACATGGTCAGAAAAAATTCAACAGAGACATCATTAGTTTTGCACAAGGATGAAACAGATAACAAGTTTTGTGCTTCCGATCCTTCACCAAAACATGGTCAGAAAAAATTCAACAGAGACATCATTAGTTTTGCACAAGGATGAAACAGATAACAAGTTTTGTGCAATAGTGGGAAAATGTAAAACTGTTTTTAATTGAAGTGGGTGTGAGGTGGTGTGTAAAATAGTGGTACTAGTGTGAGTTATAGGAAGAGCAGTACCATCACCAACAATGACTTGATCTTGTCCACGGTAAGAATTGGTGAGATGCATGTTGTCTAGGTCGTTAGTGATGTGATGCGTCGCACCAGAATCTAGGATCCAATTATTTGGTACATTTTGCGGCAAGGTGCGGGCATGATGTGCAGCAGGTTCATTATTGCATTTTGGATAGCCATGTAACTTATAACATACCTTAGCTGTGTGACCAGGTTTGTCACAGTATTGAAAAAAAATCTTGCGAGAGGAGCCAGGAGAAATGGAACGATAGTTGTTAAAAGATGAGCCATGATTCTAAGGAGAAGACTTTTTGTTATAGGTATGCTTTCTCTTTTGTGTAGCATGTGCAGTGGCCACCAGTTGTAGATCATTAGTATTATCATCCCTCTTATGATAATTTTCAGCATCAGAGAGAAGATCATGTAGTTCCTCAAATCCAATAGGATTTTCCCTTGTGCGAATGGCAGCAGAAACCTCTTTATATTCATCACCTAAACCATTGATGGTATGGATGACAAGATCAACGTCATCCAAAGGAGAGTTGATGATGGCTAATTCATCAGCCAAGGATTTAATTCCATGAAGATACTTAGTCATGGACCGAGAGCCCTTCGTGTACCGAGTTAAGCGTTCCTTCAAGTGCATGATTCGAGCATGGGTCTTGCTGGCATATCTCTTGTTAAGGATATCCCATGCCTGTTTGGATGTCTTGACGTTTCCAAGCAATGTGATCACATTTTGATCAACTGAGGAGATGATTGCGTGAAGAATCAATTGATCATGGCGCCTCCAATATATGAAATCATGATGATTGGGTGCTGGGCACGTAAGTTCGCCATCAACGAAGCCACTAAGATCATACCCTACAAGAAGGGCATTGAGTTGTACTTTCCATGCAGGATAGTTCATGCCATTAAGCTTGACAGTTGCATGGTTATTGAGAACTACAACAGATTGGGAATTTGATATTTGGATGGTGTTGTTGGGGGAAGACATGATTGAGGATCGATTAGATTGTTGTGAAGCAAAAGCTGCTGATACCATATAAGTGTTTGGAATAAATAATTCTGATTGTGTTTTATTGAATGAGAAGCAACCATATATATAAAAGTTTTTGTACAACTGAATCAAAACAGAAAGATAATAATAACAATAATTTAAACATTTGAATCAATGATAAGATGTACAACAAAATCTGTTTGTTATGTTATCCAATACCCTAAGGAGGAAATGGTGTTCAACGAGAAAGAGAACTAGATGTTTCTAAGTTTTTAACATTTTTATTTTTAATAACATAAGTTTAAATATAATTCAACTTTACAAAATTTGTAAAGTAATTACTTTCACTTATATATTATATTCTGATTATATCATTGATCGACTCTATCTTAATAATGAAAGTTAAGTTTGATCGTAATTCAACTTTAGAAACTTATTTTTAATATATCAAAAGTTATCGCTTTCCAGCACACGTTCATTCACTGGTATATATCTACCAAATTTTCACAATAAATTGTCCTCAATATATTGTATCATTCCGAAAGATTGAACAATTTAACCAGTTTGTTTTCTTCTCTACTTTTTTTTTTTTTTTTTCTGATGAATTGTTATGTATCATAAATAGGCATTAATTGGTGCATGTACCAGACTCTGTTAATTAGTTGGATATGAAAATTAATAAAAGGCACTCATCATCAACCAAACCAAACTCCCTAAATAAACATATCCGCCTGAATTTATCAGAGATTATAAATGAAAGTAATAACACTTCCGGTGTTCGGACAAGGAGGATTAATATTGTACAAATTTCCCCTGATCCAGAAATTCGTTATTTAACTTTGATTAATATATTAAGTTTTTTAATTATCTCAATATATTATATAATGTTCCTGTGTTAGGATACACACTTCACTTATCCTTAGCGAGTCTGATCCTGGGTCTCGGTTTTCTCGTTCCTATCTGGGTAGTCCGATGTGAGGGGGGTGTGCCTGCAAAGACACTCCAACGCTCAAGTAAGTGCTCGGCGTAATAAATGTGGTAGTTGAAAGTTGGTTACGTACCTCGTTGGGACTCTATTTATAGGACTTCTTATTGGGCCGTGATTAGGGACTGGGCCCCGGGAAATTAGGGGGCTAATTCAATGCATTACGTTAATTAAGCTCTTTGAAATCATCTTGGGGCCGGCACATGGTTTTGGCCGAGCATACCGACGTACTCCGTTCGATTCTCGGGTGATCGGTATGTTAGGATATTCGGCCAAGTATTTGAGGGTATCCGGCCCAAGTGTTCGAGTGGTCAGGTATTCGGCCCAAGTGTTCGAGAGGTCGAGTGTTCGGCCCGAGTATTCGAGGGGTCGGGTATTCGGCCAGGTCGACCCCCATACGGTATATATAATATATATACTGATATTCCATATATGTTGTACATTATTTATAATGAGCAATGACTTAAGGTATTGCAAAATTTAAAACCTCTAAGTAATCAAACTATTAAACATTAGTTACTACATTGATCATTCCTTACATAACGCGGGAACCGACATTCATAGCCTTTTACATCACATCCAATATTAATTGGATTAACATGCTATCAAATTGCCCAAAACGTAAAAAAAGTGTATCTATGTAGCCAATCATTAAAAAACGTAGTAACTATCAAGTTTCCATAATTTTCTCGGCATTAAAAATCGTAGTAATAGCAATGTATATGTCTCGACCAACTTTGTGCCGTTTTTCAAATTCCTATTCACTGTATCACATTACAATAATAAAAAACCTTGGCACGACCTGGCATATCCCACATGCTCCGATCACACACTGCACCATAGTGACAAACAAATAATCTGAAAACTGTTTGTGCGCAAGTGGAAAGCAGAGTCTCACATTAAATTATAAGTATATCGAATAACATGCAAGTGAAAAAGACTTTGGATGTTTTAAGTTAAAATATGATGTTAAATTCATCTCGTATAGGTTGTTCATAATCAATTAATGAATGGAGTTTCATCCCGTGTTTAATCTCTATCCTATTCCGAACAAAAGAGTACCAAAGATTAGAAACAGTAGACGACAAACAATGAGCTAAGATAAGAAGTAAGAAAGTAATCGCAAACAATAATAACAACGTCCCGCCACCCTTTTGTACAACAATAGTCACCTGGTTAATTTTGTCGTTACTCAACTAGGGTATTATGAAATGAACACTTTACTACTTTACATACTGACAAATAATAAACTTAATTAAACCATGAATATTACAACACTAAATATAGTCGATCAATGAGAATACGAGATGATTAAACTATATTTATATATATGTGTATGTACGTTGATGTTTATTCTTATTCGAATTAGGAGTAATAGATAAAGATCAAATTATCTGGATCCAAATTCCCTCGCTTGGAATTTCCTGGTGGACCACAAAGAGAAGATAAAAACCGGGTGGTGCAAGAACGGGGGATTGGGGTGTGGTAACCTCAATCTCATACGTTGTTGGTCCTCCCACGTTTGTCACGTCGCTAGGCTCCAACACGAGCGCCCTCTGATTCATGGAGAACGAGTGCGTGTTAAAAGGCGGCGACAACATCGTCACCGAAACCAAACTCCGAACCAACGCCCCCGCCACGTGGACTCTCACCCTCACCTTCTGACCATACGCGACTTTAGTCCCCGTCTCGGGAAACGCGATTCGGGGACGCACGTCATCAAACGCGGCCTCCAAATAAGAGGGATGAAAAGCCTCCACGCTAAGCTCCGTGGGGAAAAGCACATTGGAAAAATTATAACCAACGTGAGGGTTGCTCCCAGCAACGAGAACCCTCCCGTCACGAAGCAAAACGGCAGTGGAATGGTACATTCGAGGAGTATTCGACCCGTTTAGTGTTTCAAACCGGGAACCGGTTGGTTTATTCGGGTAATAAAGAAACGGAGTTAAAACCGGGTCGCGGCCGAATTCCCAACCGGCGCTACCTGAACCGGCTCCATTAACAATCAAAACGTTGCCGTTTGGGAGGATAACCATGTCGCTCATGAGTCTACCTCTGGGCATTGTTTCCACGATCCAGTTTGGATTCGGGTCGGTTATTTTGATCCGGCCGCAGGTATTCAAAGCTCCGAGAAACTTACCCGTTTTGGCGTTATTATAAGCGCCTCTCGGGGCTCCGCCACAAACTAAAACTTGAGGTTCCAAAGATGAGGTTTTGAAGGGTAAGAGAACAGCGGAACCGGTGCAAGGGTAGGACCTGGGGTCAGAGCCAGGGAGAGTGGGGAAAGTTCTGACGACGACGTTTTTGGTGTAGTCGAGGAGAATGGCTCTGTTGTTGGCGAAGATGAAGAGGGTGGAATCCACGTTGAGGAAGACGAAGGGGTATAAGTTGTTTTCCTCGTGAGGGTCGCTGGTTTGAACGAGGAAGGGGAGGGAGTAGGTGTTTTTGGCGGTGGTGTGTGATTTCGGGTAGAATTCGTAGTTGAATTGGCGTCTGCCGCCGACGATGATTTGCCGGCCGTCGGGGAGGAGGTGGTTGGTGGCGTACCAGCGGCGGGCGGCGAGGGGGGCGGAGAGTTCTTGCCAGTCGCAGGTGGGGCAGGGGGAGAAGGACCGGACTTTGCGCTCGCCGTCGTTGAAGCCGCCTGTTTGGATTATGGTGCCGTCGGGGGCGGCGGAGGCGGAGGAGCACCAGACGTTGGTTTGGACGAAGAGGGGGCGGAGGGCGTTGGTGGCGACGTCGTACTCCAGGGAGTGGGCGGAGCAGTCGGTCTTGACGACCATTTCGGCGGGGTCGCGGCGGCAGCGCCCGTCGGGGAGGGAGAGGTTGGAGAGGCCGAAGTCGGTGCGGTCGAAGATGAGGACGTGGTCCGTGTGGAGGAGCTGCATGTGCATGGCCACAATGCCGATGCTTTTCTGGAGGCCCTCCCAGTGGCCGCTGCCGGCTGCGGCGGAGGATGGAGGCCGGAGGGAGAGGGTCGCCGCGGTGGCCACGAGGAGGAGGTGGAGAAGCGATGCTGCTGTCATTGTGTGAGAGTGGTGAACTCACTCCCTGTGATGACACATTTGCTTGTGTGTGCTTCTGGGTTTAAGTAGTGCAGAGGTGACCAAGAATCAGAGTCATGACGCAAAAACACCTCAGTTGTTTTTTCGGAACATATCTCAACACTGCAAAGTACAAACATTCATTTTAATTAGTTGCCCTTCTTGTTTCTCTTTTATTATTGTTTTCTTACATCATCTTTTGAAAAATGGTAAGGGATAAAACTCATTTGGAGTATGGTAGGTGTTGTTTTTATTGATTTCATTAGTTAAATTTTATATTTGATAATATGGTGACAATATTTCTGCTAAATGTGAACACCTATTATATTAAGCTAATTGGTGAATAACATCCAGAGTTATATATGATACAGGATTTAAATTGTGTCCAACGATAAATACGTTGTTTTTTTATTATTATAAATTATTATATAATTGTTTAATGAATAACGTACAATTAAGTATTATTTTTTTCATGAGTAACTTTTTGTTTTGACAAATGTAAAGATTGATTAAGATTTTTATATATATATACAAATCATAAGGATTTTTCACAAAAAATAATCATGTTCAGATTAAATAAGATAATTATGAATAGTAAAATTCTTCTTTTTTTAATATTTAATATAATTACATATCAAAGACTCAAACTTCAAACTACTAGTTAAGTTAAAATAATTATGTACTAGTAGATCCACATGTTTAATTGTAAGCTTAATGAAGATTATGAACATAGAACTATTTTTGTTTATGTAAATTGAAAAACTTGGCCCAAGCAGCATTTTTATAAGACTCAATTACTTCATCAAAACTAAATTGTATGATGGTCTTGTATTAGCAATATTCCTTTAATATTTTTATAAGATTCAATTACTTAATTTTATCAAGATTTGGAAGATTGGTTAATTGTGATTCGCGATAAAATAAAATGGTTAATTTAGTTAATATTATTAAATCATAAATTTATATTTTTTCCAAAACTATCTTAACATTAATGAGACAAAACAACATTTTTTATAAATATGGATTTGTTTGATATATATTAAACTATAATAATACAAAAAAAATGTAACACTATACTTAAGTGAGTTAGATGAATAATGAGAGTCTCTGATCATAGATCTAGTTGATCCTAAGAAGAAAAAAAAGGTTTCTTTTGAGAATTAAGCCTCATAAACTTAACTTCTCAAAGACCTCAGTGATAGAGTAGAGTGAGAAGCTCAGAATTTTTGAATATTCTTCTCTTCTTTCTAAATTCCCTGGAGTCATGAGAGGTTCCTTGATCCTCGGGCTAGTGATTTGAAGCTGTTGGAGCTAAGGATTTGTGCGAATGCGGAGTACTCTCGAAGTTCTTTTCTTCCTCTTCCTCATTTCCTCTTCTTAATGGTTGGAGTTTGAGGTAATGGAAGTTAGACTTGATTCTTGCTAAATTGTTGAGTTTATGTGCTTAGAATTGCTTTGAATTCTTGATTGTTGGATAAATTCGAGGTGGTTTAATGCATGTTGAATTCTTAGTGTTTTGAGTTCATAAAGGTGAAGTCAGGTGATTCCCTTGATTTATGGTTGCATGTGGTTTTTGATGCCAAAACGAGTTGTGGGTGATGTAAATGTATGTTATGATGTTTTGCAGGCTTTAGATTTTTTGAGTTTTAGGTGCTTAGGACGATTTTCGTGATTTACATTATGTAGAAATCACAGTCACACTAAGAGCATCAGGTGCATTATAACCAGAGAGCTTTGTCTCAATCACTTTCAAGCACATGATCATTGGCGTTGGACGTGAAGAGAGAGACTCATCTCATATTGGGATGACGTCAAGCGCAGTTTGAATGGCACCAAGCGTAAGAGCGTGGGAAGTCTCTAATTTGGTGACGTTGGGCATCGCTAAGGTGATGTTGAGCATGAATAAGGTAAAAACTTTATGTCTGATATGATGTCGAGTGTGAAATTTTGCCATGCCAAGCATGAGGTCCCAGGGCATCTCCACCTCAATTATGTCGAGCATGATTTGGATGGCGCCAAGCATGAGCGAGGCATAAAGTTCCCTACCTCAATGACACTAGACATGAGATATGTTGTGCTGGGCCTGGGATGCTTGGATGATATGATGATTGTATGGTGTATGATGATTGTTCTATATATGTTGATTAGATATGACATACGTAGATGTTTGTATGGTGTTGGATGATGATAAGCATATGTGTATTGTATATATGTATAATGTTGTTGATCTCTATATGCATCGATTGGATGTGATGCATATAAATGATATATGATGAAGTGTGGATGTTGAGAATGTTGTATGACATTAAGGCATGTTGACTAACTTAGGACTTGAGAAGAAGAAATGGTTTTTGAAAACTTAAGATCCCACATAGGGAACCTTTGAGTAGTGCTTGGATAAGCCACTATTAGAAAATCCTCTTTGAGTAAATGTATCTCTTGGATGGGTTTTGAGGCATGTTGAGTCTCCTCTAGGTCATTAGTTAATGGTTGAGTAAGGTAGGAGGTCGAGGGCTACAATCCTTAACCAAATACTAAAAAGGCTGCATGGTTCATTGAGGATAATCAATGCGCAAATTCCATATGTGACTTAGTAATGCATGTCAAGATTGTGGAAAGTCTAAACCTATTTGTACTATTCCTAATGGTGGAATTTGACTTTCATAGTATAAGTGACAAAACCCGATATAAACCAGAGAAGGGATTGGTTTCCCAATTTGCTATGATCGAGTCAACGATTCGAGTGTGAAAATGATTGGGTTGGTTCGATTGGGTAGAATCACATAGACTACTCATATTTAGGAGATTTCCGTAGATGAATGCGTGACGATGTATTGGTTGAGGTATTTGCATATGATGTATGTTGTGGTGTGATCATTTACATTGTTGAATGTCTTGCTTGATACGATGTGGATGAGGTACATGTTTGCTTTGGGGTGTTTGGCTTTCATGTATGTTTTGCTATGATGTTGTAGGCTATAAAATTGTTTTCTATACGTACATGTTTTTGGACTCTGACTTACTCTTTCTATTTTTATGTGGTTTGGAATATGATGATTATACGTTGTATGAGAGTAAATCAGAGCTAAGTTGGAGGAGTTGTTGCTGCTTGGAGGTTTGGCGATGCTTTTTGGTTGGTGTCGATGCTACTATGGTAGCTTGTATAGTTGTACTTGATTAACACTATGACATAGGATTATTTTGGGATTGCTATATACATGTATATACTTTTCTATATTAGTATAGGTGCTTTACTTGTATATTCATGATCTATATATATGTATGATACGTTCTCTTCTTTAATCCTGTATATTATAGTAGTCAAGTTTTCGCTACTAATTATAGTGATTTCGTTTAGTGTAGCGACTAGAGCGGGTCGTAACAAATAAACACACACACATAAGACAAATGTTCAAGTTACTAGAATAACATTTTAGTTTGTACATTGTTTGATAAATGATAGATAACAAAAACAAAAAATAGTTAATTTTACTACAATGTCCCTTTTAACATTATTTATTTTAATTAATTCTACTTAAAGCAAGATGATAATAGTAGTAATAATTATAGTGACAGCAACAACAACAATTTTAATAACAACAAATAGTAACAATGATGGTAATAAGATGCAAGGTGATGATCGACATAATGATAATAGGAACAATAATAACAATAATGATGATGGTAATATTTTTTTTTCTCAAATATTTTATTTTGGAGCAAAATTTTTTCCTATAATTTATTGGGTAAAAAAATAGAGATTTTGTGGAAGTTTTCGTTATTTAAATTTTGTATAAATCGAACATCTGTCATTATTAGCAAATTAAACGTAAGTCTTATACAAAGGACTATATAGATTGATTTTTTTTATCTTATATTCTTATGTGTATAGATGAATAAAAAAAATAAAAGATAAGATAGATAAATAAATGAAGAGAAATAGAATAACTAATGCAATAAATATTGTTAATAAAACTAATTAAAAAAAGAGTTAATCATCCATACAGTGTAAAGTTTTTTACACTGACAATCAATCATATTTTGAGAATTACTATTGTACCCTCAATAAATGAGGGGTTTTGGTACTATTTATAATATATACACATAATTTACATCTGATGTCAACCTTTTAAATAAATTTTATTTTGAACAATACTAACACACAACACAATGCCTCCAAAGCGGAGCACGTTGAAGACGTTGACTGAAATTACGTCGCCAACCCTTGGCCTCGGGAGGACACAATGGCTTTTCTCAAGATAAGGTCAAACATGGATGTTGCTTTCAGAGATTCAAACCCCAAAGTCCATCTCTGGGAACAAGCCTCAATTATAAATTAATTAACTTCCTTTTTTCTTTTCAATCGATCTTGTGTGAGGCCCTTTCCTTTTCTTTCCCATTCCACCCTCCTACCCTTACTCTCGTTCACTCTCACTCACTATCTTGTTCTTCTCCTTGCTCACTCTTGTGCCTTGGGTCTCATTGTTCTTATTTTGCTGTCTCAAGGTGGTGGTGTGGAGTAGGTTCGGATTTTTGCTAGCTGAGTGTGCGGAGCTCTTTTCTCCTCCCTTGTTGTGCAAGCTTGTTCTTCTTCTCCGATCAGGCTCCTCTTTCTTCATTCTCTTTTTCCCGGAGCTCGAAATCTTCTACCGAGGTAAGGGAAGTTAGTTTTTTTGATGGCTGGATGAAAATGAGTTTAGCAACTCATGGATAGTTTGATGTTGAATGATTTTGGCTGAGATTGATGGTTGTTTTGATGAAAAACTCATATTTTGGGGTTTTCGGGTTTGATGAAATTTGGGGTTTTTCTTTGATTTGAAGTTGCATGTTGGAAATGAGGTGTTTTTCTTGATAGGTTGCAGCTGAACCTCGCGCTGATAGTTGTTGATTTATGCTAAAACTGTTGATGGATGTTGTCTTATGCCGAACTAAGCTGAAATTGATGAATATGCTGTGCTGACTAGATGATAATGCTGAATAATAAATGTATATTGTCGTGCTGAGCTGGGTTGTGATTGATGATTTTAAATGTTGAATTATAATATTGTTGTACTACAGAATGATGAGATGAGTTGTGAGTAGTAAGCTGTGTTGAATACTACTTAGCTGTGCTGTATGCTGATT